TAGGCTTTGGCGTCTCAGTTCCCGTTATATTGGAGCTTCAGTCAATGAAGAACTACAAGTCTAGGAAATTATTAAGCTTACAGTGAAGCACCAAGGTGTCTGGTCATGTAAATTGACTCTCTTAGGTCTTTTGACTGGAATGATGAGCATGTCAGGGGACCTTACAGCAGCTGGCCACACCTGGGTGTTCTTAGATATACACTAATTTAAACACCTTTTATTATGAACAAATAAGTTTTATTTCACATCTGCTAGAGATCAAGCATACAAACTAAATAACATCCATCTGATTATTTACAGTAATTCAGCTGCCTTGCAAAAATCTGTTTGTTTTTTGAACCTTAATTACAAGTCTAACTTCTAAAAGCTTGGCTTACAACTTTGGGCAATACAAGTACAATGTAGCTGCTAGTTTGTGCGAACACTAGCATACGTCTTTCTTGCTTCTTATGTGCTAAATTTTTAAACATAATTCAGATAGACTAGTTTCTCTTTTAAAACAAAATCAAATTCGTTGGAGGGGTGGAGATGAGATGGTACAGTATATGCAGTCTACTGAACAGGGTATTAGTTTCAGAACAAAGAGATTTATACGGAAACTGCACTTCAATGCAATCAATAGGGTTTTCTGATTGACTTCAATGACAGGATTTCACTATGAAGGCTAACTTGAATGCTCTCCGTCAATAATCTGCTTCCTGATTTAGCAGAGTTCTCTTTGCATGTCCTCCTCCACTTTTGGGTAAAGGATCTGTGCGTTTGTGTTTTACAAGACAGACTCAATATCATTAGAAGCTACTAAGTACTGCTGGAGGAATAATAATATTTGTAATGTTTCTTAAACTTACCCACAGTAGCAGCTGTGCCTGGGAAAAAACGATCTTCACAGAATCGCCTTAAGAATGAAGTCTTTCCAACACTTGAATTGCCAACTAAAATAATCTTGAACAAGTGGTCTGGGACAGAGTTTATTCTCTCCTCCTTCAAATAAGAGTAAACATTAGTCTTCAACTGCTCTCACTCTAAATTCCATTGCCTTCCGATTTGCCTTGTTTTTAAGGCTGAGTTGGGAAAAAAAA